CACGAATGGCTGAATAATGTAATATTATAACAGCCTTGTTTTATGAATCAAAACAATGCATTGTGTTGCCCATGTTTACACGGAGAGTTACCTTGAATTATGTGCATCCATCTGTATACATCAATACTATGAGTATCACATATTCATTGTATACTTTTTTCTCCCGCATAGAAAAACTACGACTCTTTTGTTCGTTCTCTCCCAAGCTATTAGAGAAGCTTGATCGATGGTAATCAACAATCAATCGAATACTTAGAAAAATGTACGTTATACCACAGCTTCATTTGGTTTTTTTTCTAACCATCGCATACCACACACAAATATCGACGCCTCACTAGTGATAGTAGGCCTCAAGATAGCATGATCCTAGTGGAGCCAAACCTCAAGCGTTATCTTTACAAGTGAGTAGGAACCATCATTTTTAACAACAGTTCCGCATGCAACCGAAATATGGATTCGAGTCTCGCTTCACCTCGCCGTATCAATGCGAAACACGGTTTAAGTCGTGGAACTCGAGCACCTACTAGTTTCCACTCCTGTTTTGATCACGGCATCACGGCAGTCCATGGTTTCAGTTTCGGTTCTAGAGACACAAACAGTTCTCGTTCCTCGTTCAATCTCAGTATGGATGAAGGCACGTCTTCAGTCTTCATCCTGCAGCTACTACCAGCTTTAGATCCGACTTCATTCTCCCAATCAATCCGGTAGTCGGCTTCTGTTTCCATATTAAAGCCACGATTAGTCCACATTCTGGCTCCCAACCTCGTATGAACGCAGTACCCTGCTGCAGTCAGGTTCTAGAATCACTAACAGCTTGCCTATTCGACTTTGATCTTGGTATCAGTGCAAGCTCTGCTTCAAGCCGACCCTAGCGTCACTACTAACTCGCATGCCCGCTCCGATCTCGGTATTAGTGCAGGACTCTGCTTCAGACCGGCTCTACTGCCACTGTCAGCTCGCATACTCGCTCGGTTCTCGTTATCACTATAGGACCCTGCTTCAGGCCGGCTCTAGTACCAGTGCCAGCTTGCATACCCACATCGATCTCGGTGTCAATGGCAGACTTGGCTTTAGGGCCGTCCAGGAGCCAGTACAAGTTCGGGTTTCGACTTCGATCTGGGTTAAAAGTATCAGTTTCTGGTTCCATCCGAGGGAACCCAGAACTTGGGGCGGGTTCCCTTCTTGAGAACCCGGGAATCCATACCAATTTGATACAGATACAAAGAATAAGCACGTTCATAAGTCTCAATAAAATTAGAAACGCACAGAAACGAATCTTCGAATGGATACCGTTTCTCAAGAACAGAACCCTAGGGAACGGGAAACCGCGACACCCGTAATCTGGGTGTCGACGTGGGACACAGGTTCACTCGTGATCGTAGAGCCAGTACCAGTTCTCCTTCCTATCCCGATCCCTATATCTTTGCGGGACACTATTTCAGTCCCGACCCTAGAGTCTCTACCATATCTCGCCCTGCTTTCGATTTCAATGTCAATGTGAGGCATGGCTTTGGTTGTGAACCTAGGATCCCTAATACTTCTCGCTCTGCTTGCTACCTCGGTTCCAATGCGGGAGACGGCTTCAGTCCGGGCTCGAGAGCCACTATCATTTCTCGCCCTTGTTCCTATGTAGACATCGATGCAAAACAGGGCTTTAGTCCCTGTCATTGAGCACCTATCAGTTCTAATTCCTGTTCCGATCTCGGTATCAATACGGGCCGCCGCTACAGTTCTTATCCTAGAGCGACTGTCAGTTGTAGCCCTAGTTCGGATTGTAGTACTAATGCGGAATACGGCTTCAGTCTCGGCCCAATAGGAACAAGCAGTTCTCTATCCAGTATCGAGAGTGTGGTGTTGGTGTGGATGTGGATCTTCTCTTCTTCTAAACTCATATCCATTCCTTCGAATAAAAGTTGTAAAATATACAAGACTACAGGAGTGCTATCAGCAACTTAAACAATAATCTTTCATCTAATAAGCAATAGCTCCAATAATATTTCGTCTACTGTTAAGATGTTATAAGGGACTCCAGTGAAATGATGAACGTTGCCTGTCGATTCGTAATCCGTTACCTATGTGTTAGATGGCCCAGTGAATTATTACCTTATCCTATTAAGGTTTAACGTCACGAGTATTCTCGTGAAGGATGACTAAAGACTGATTGCTTGAGAGACAGATCTTTAATACTGATTGAAAACGACTTAAAAATATTCATTTTTTGTCAAAAAATGAGCTGAAAGAGAGTTTTTTTTTTGCAAGTAGTAAATCGGTGAAATACCCGTCGCTACCAATCTGTAGATTCTCTCAAGCACACTACCTTTAATCCTGACTTTAAAGATGATCAATACGAAATGTAGGATTGTTTTGGCCTGCTCCAAACGTTTCAGTTAAGAAACAATGTCAGAAAAATATGGGTTTTGCAGAAATTCCGATGCAATTTTAACTTAAGTAACGACGTTGCACTCAAACTGCAACTATACGATCTAGAAGTAGCGACAGCTCTAGATAAAAACGAACATCTTAGAAGAAGAACAACAACCGTTGGACGAAGTCATGAGAAGATTAGAACGTAGGTTAAATTCATTCATAATAGTACAATAGGGCTAACTTTTCCAAGTTATCCTATGATTTTTTTTGTTTAGAATGATGGGTGTATTAAAAACTTCTGAGTTAGACAGGAATGTACTGTAATTGAAAGTGCTAAGTGTAGTAGTAGTGCTCCTGATTCGCATGCATGAAAGTGAAATTGGAATACTCCAATGTTAATAGCCTTTCACAAAATTTAGCGGGTAGCACAGTTCAGATTTGAGTCGTTGGACATCTGTTGTGTTTTCTTGAGTTGTACGGGATACCGATCGAAGTTACTTTAATCAGTTTGGCTTTTATTGCCAAGTTCGATTGATTTTGAACCAAGATTTTTCATGAGGTTTTATACTTTCCTGATTTAAGCGAAGAAAAGTTTGAAAACGCATACGATACATTTTTGAACGCCAGTTTGATAAAAATGTCGAAAGCTACACTGGAAGCAAAGACAATATTTTCATCGAGATTTTACGAGATAGCTTTTTCAGTGTGGTAATGTTGACTTTTATACGACACAAATACTACAATAAAGAATTAAGAACCAAATGTAGCCATGACGACTGATTTGAAGTTGAATTTATAGCTTCAGACGAAAAAAGACCTTGCAAGAAACTGAAAGAAATGTGAGTTGCTGTGTACGACAACCAGAAACATTATCGATCAAGTAACTATGGTAAGATTTTGGTTAACCCTTCTTTATTAAAGTACAGCAGCATCTTTAAGTGTTTCAGAAAAGGATCAGCGAACTTATAAAATGAGCGTTACCAGTAAATAAATTATCTGATTAGTCCCAATCAGAAGTGTACAGAACGAAAAATATAAGTAGGTCTCTGCTGCTTACGAGAATACTTATTCCCATAGGTCATACCTATTAAAGGAAAATATGTCATTTATTATTTCAGATAATTCAAATAACAAGAATTTCGGAATACCTCAAACATTAAAAAAAACCCTACAACAATTTTCCCATTACCTCGAATGGACTATGAGAAAAGGATTTGCTAGAACTAAGACCATGAGAATTAGTGTCACATACCTGTGAATTTCATTCCCACTATTGCACGTAAAATGTCGACCCGATTGTCTCACGATTATTAATATTCTTTTTATATTCACTACACACAGTTAATAGTCAACATGTGAATATGAAGTAACTCTTCATAGATTTTTTCGTACTACTAAAAGATATTCTGAACAAGTAAATGAAACACTACTATAAACTATACGCGGATCATACGCAAAATTAAGTAGCCGGGAGTATCGATTCGTAGAGGCGCTGACGACTGACTACAAGCTGTCTCTTAAACTTCACCTTAGAAAACTTCAACAGAAAATCAAAAGGTTCAGTCTTTTTACAAAACGGTAGTCACTGGCAACATTATAACCAGTTTTTTGTATGTGCGTATGTTCAGTGATAATTGTCAAAATAGAACCCAGCAAATGATGACAGATGATGATGTTTAGATCAAATTCAGTCGAGAGTCAAGCGAGTCGTGTCATGAGCATTATTTGTTTATTAATTCGATGTAAATTTTTAACAAAATGGAATAGATGAAAATGGCAGTATTGAAATATTCCTCTAATCTTTGTGTAATTGTGAATGTCGTATCAAAATAGGCAAAATATACTTCACGATATAAGGTAGAAAAAGAAAAACAAATGATTATTGTCATTGATAATAATATGTTCTCGATGTTTGTAAAATAAGATATGTTCGTGTGATATTTATATCGATAATAAAAGAGAAAAAGGAAAATTATGTGTAATCAGACAACTATATCATACTGATTTATCTCGTCTAGATATTTTTCAAGGTTGATACGCATTCAAACTATAATGAATAGAGTAAATGTTTAAATAATTTAGTTTTTTATCTTTTGTCAATAAGAAAAATTCTGATTGCAAAAAAAAACTGATTCTTATATTAATAGTTATGTGTTGAAGATTAATCTGAATAATAAAACAAGAATATGAAGAAGTACAATGAAGGCAAATTATTGTTTCAATTTTTTCTTTTTGTCATTTCATTTTTTATATTTTTGTTCTAGCATCTGTGACCCACTCGCCTACATTTTCTTTCTTTAATTATGTAGTATTTTCATTTGCTTTGACTTATACACGAACATATGGTGACTTATATCTCTCTTTTGTACATTATCTCAAGATGATACATGAAGAAAATGTCGAAGCATTCCAGTACACATTCATTGTTTTTCATAAGCACGTGTGCCATCCGATATTATCTTGTATATCTTTCTCCAGTTAAAATCGCTTCGCAAGATGTGCATGAAGGAATGATTACTGAATATATTATTAATATTTCTCGTCTTTTTTTCGGAGTCTCACATATCAAACATGCATTCTTATTAAGTATCTATGATTTTAGATTTTGATTTTTTTTAGATAGTAAAAAAAAGATGCATACATCTCTTTGTATTGCTATTATTCTTACATTTATCCAGTCGATTTTAAGTGCACATGTTGAAGATAATCGAATTATTATTGGATCAAGTGTTGGTGGAGTTTTTGGTTTAGTAAGATTGATTTTCGAGGATAATAAAAATTGTTTTTCTTTTTTTGTTTATGATTTATAGATCATCTTGATCCTTGATCTTATTGCAATTTTTGAAGTACTCAAATCGGGTGGCCGTAGTATGTGTTCGAAACTTATTTGGATTTTAATTATCATCTTTTTTCCTATTGGTGGTATGTTATTGAAAGTTTTTTTACTCGTGTCTTGATTTATCTCTTCTATTTGTTTAAGGTTTGATTTTATATTGTTTATGTGCTCGATCTCGTAAAGCCGATGAAATTGTTTAAAAGTTTTGAGCGACGCCAAAAACGACATATGAATAATGGCAATGGCAAAGTGAACAGTTGCGTTTGTTTTTCTTTTTTGCACATTTTATCTCATATATTTAGCCAAGCTTGTTATCATATAGTTTTCTATTGTTTTTCCGTGGTTGATTCTATTTATTACTTCATTTAATATATGTATTTATGAGTTTTATATAAATATTCAAGATTATATTTACTATTCAAAAAGCAAAAATTAAAAGTCGAAGAATAATAAAATAGAAAATTTTGAAATTAAATAAAAATGTGAATCACTTGACTAATACTATGTTGATAGAAGTCTTGTCTGATACTGCGATAATTAATTCTAGATAATTTATTAACATCTTTACAATTCTATACCATTTATCAATCCTTTAAGCTAATCTATTGTTCATACTTTACTGATTGTATGATATTCAAACTGATTTTGTTTTCTTCATCAAATACCAGCACTATTTTGTCATTTATTTTATAATATATCTTTTTCAATTCGAAAACTCCGCATTGGCAACTGTCATTGGCATACAAAAGTAGTTGCGCGCTACTCGTCGAAAAAATCCTTTACTTGGTAAATGTCGTTTATAAATGCAATTGTTGTTTTTTGCATTTTCTTTCAAACGATCATATTGTTGTATTGATGATAATTCATCTTCTTGACACTTTTTTTCTTTATTATAGGAAGATGGTTGTTCTTGATAATGATGACGTTTTCGTTCATTGATATCTTTCATTTTTGCATGAGCATTTTTATAAGCAAGCGATGGATGACGACGCCGTGGCTGATGATCATTTAATGCATATTTCCTTCTTTGTTTTACTGGTGAAGGTGATGGTGAAGGGCGTTCAAGTAAATTAAATAGATCACAGTAAATACCATTATCTTCTGATTGCTGATAAATTCGACGAGGTGCTAGCAGAGGAGGAGCTTGTGATGACAAATGAGACGTCTGACAAGGATATGCAGCATAATAATTTGAAGCATAAGTAATAATTAGATCTTCTAATCGTCGATGACGTCTTGGTGTTACTGGCGGTGGTGATGGTATTTGATCATGATAAGATAAAGGGGAACAAGTGCGATGAGTTATTGTGTTAGTATAATCTGGATGAGTGAAAAAGAATGAAGAACAGGTAGAATCATTAGTAGGACTGGATGGCCGGCAGTGCATGTTGGAGATCATGCATGCCGGCTAATATTTAGTCCTGAAATAATAGTAAATAGAAAAAAAAAGTTCATCCGAATAATATATCATTTCGACTTACATTTTTTTTAGAATTGTCAATGGAGCGTTGCGAACAATGCGCAGCACTCTTGTGTCTTTTTTCTGTCTTGTTTGCCTTTGCCTTGTCTCTGCCTTTCGCTTACTACTTTACTGCGTGTACTTGTACACACAAGTAATCAAGGCTAACAGTATGCCTGACGTCGTTGCATTACCAACTTGCTCATATATATTTTTTCTTTTTCTCTCCTATCTCCTATTCTTCATTTGTACACGTTTACGGTCATTGAACCAGCACACGAGGCGATTACTAGTGCATGAAAAAGAAAAAAAGAGGAACGAGCAATAACCTTGCTTGATGTTGATTCCGTCGTCATTTGTACATAATCTTTTTTTCTTTCTTCATTTCTTTCATAAATGTGTACAAATGCAACCTATAACAGGAGCTTGACGAACGAGCAATATTTATGCACATCAGTGTATATATGTATGTATGTGTTTGCCAATTGATCAATTATCCAACAAGCAAGACGAAGGCAAAACGAAAAAGTCATTAGAACTATAGATCCATTAACAGCGACGTATATTAACTGATAAGATATTTATAGACAATCGATAACTACAGATGTAGATCATAATGATTTAAAAAAAAAAAAAGAAGACCGAATGTCATTCAAATACCAATAAAAGCACTTGTATTACACTTCTTGCAATTAATGATTAGAAAAAAAAAAAAACATTATTTGCTTCTTGAAATATTCTTGATTCGTAATCAAGACCATACTTGAAGTAATATAAGCGTGAAGGACATCAAGTTAAATGAAGTCGTCATTACTACTAACGAAACTACATTAGTATTAAAAATTTGATTGTAACATAAAAAATAAAGTACATATTTATCGTTGTTAGATTTGGCCATAGAAATTATAGCCATTCTATTTAAATAAAAGACAAAAGAATAATACAATGAAAAAACAAATTGATATTAACAGTTGATATTCTTTTTTTTTTGTAAACGTTTTTTAATAAAGTGTTACGCAAATAGTAACTTTCTTGATTTATCTTTTTTTAAAGATCTATCATTCCAAAAAAAATTTTTTTAATTAAATTTTTTTGTTTTCTGATGGTCATCCTCCATATTAAATTCATTGACAAATACATATGTAAATAAGACGACGAATGTTTGTAGTAGTAGTAGTAGTAGTAGTAGACATTTGAACACACAAGAATGAGAGCAAATACAACAAAGTACAATTGAAAAAAATGAAACGTATGTGCGTATCTATTTGTAAAATAGAAATAAACATAATGCAGATCGATTCTACTACCAATCTAGTCTTACATATATACAAAAGATGGAGAATGAAAGGAGAAAAACAAACGATTTTTCGAAAAAAAAACAGAATACAGTCACTATTGACAAACAACATTTAGAAAAAAAAAAGGAAAAAGATCATTAGACACACACACACATACAAACAGATAAGAATTCAATATGTGACTTCATAGAGTGTAGCTTTTTTGTCTCCTGAACCTGTTAAAATATATCGATCATCAGCTGATATGTCACAACAAAGTACACTTGATGATTCTTTTGATTGAAATAAAAGAAGACCAGTTGGTGTTCGACAACAATGTATATAATTATCTTTACCAGCTGATATAAACCATTTACCTTGATGAGCAAATTTAAGTGCTAAAACACAACTTTCATGTAAACTAAGTGTATATTTATCATGAGTTTTTTTCATTGATGGACTTGTTGCATTACTCATAGCTGATGATATATTAATTAATTCAACTGTTGATGATTCCATACCAACAGCAAGCCATTCACCTGTTGGACAATAACCCAATGTAAAAATTTGTGAATCAAATTCATATGTTTGTAATGGTGCATAATCATTACGAAGATCCCAACAACGAACTGTATTATCTAAACCACCTGTCCACATTGTACGACCATCTGGTGCTATATCAATACATGATGTACCATCAGCTATAAATAAAAAAATAAAAATAATTTTAAATGAAATTAAATAAAAAAAATTCTTACTATGTCCAACAAAAGTTTTAACTAATGATTGATTATGAATATCATAAATAGCCACTGAACCATCTGAACAACAGCAATAACAAAGTTTTGAATCTGATGGACCAAGAGCAAGTGCATAACAAGCAGGTGCATTTAATTTAAGTTCACCTTTAATTCTTGGTGATGTTGATGATGGTGGATGATTTGATGATGGTGGTGATGATGCATTAGAATTTGGTGTTGATGAACGTGTATTACTTGCTGAACCACCAGTAACTGCTGATAAATCACAAATTGATATTATATTTGCTTCACCACCAACAATAAGTGTACGATCATCAGAAAGTAATTTACAAAAACGTATATAACTATCATCATTAAGACATTTAAAATAGGACAATGGAGTTCGAATAGTACCAGTTTGTTTAAGATCCCAAACTTTAACACAACCTTTACCACCCTACGAGAAGCAAAAAAAAATACAATTTTCATTATTATAATTATTATTTTATATTTACAGTATAAACACGTTTTGATGGTTCACTTATTGTAACTGCACAAACAACTTCTCCATGCATTAATGTAGCAAGTTCACGAGCTGATGTTGGTATATTAGAACCAGTTAATGCTTCAGGTGTCATATTCACAGGTGTTGTCACAGGATTACCTTGTGCATCAGACGTTGTAAAATATGAATATGCTTGATTCAAAAATTGATTATGATGATTATTTGGTCCATGTTGTTGTTGTTGCTGCTGCTGCTGCTGTTGTTGTCGTTGTGCTGCAGCCACCGCTGTTGCTTGAGCTGCTGCAGCAGCAGCAGCTTGTGCTTGAGCCATTTGTTGAACATGTTGATGTTGTGCTGCCATAGCCATTGCTTGAGCAACTTCAGGTGATGCAAATGGATGACCAAATGGACCAAATGGATTTAATGCATTTGCATGATGTGGACCAAGGGCACCAAAAGCAGCTGCAGCTGCTAATGCTTCAGGTGATGAAAATGGACCTGGGTTAAAACTGAAGTATAAAAAAAAAGATATAAAAAAATTCAACATAATCAGATTTTTATTCTACCCAAATGCAGCACTTGGTGGTAAACGTCCGCCGCCAAATCCTGGTGGTACACCTAATGGTCCACCTGGTTGCATTTGAGATGAAACAACATTTGATGGGCCTCCTGTTATTGGTGTCATTGCTTTGTTTGGTTGTGGAGTATTTCGTTCTTTTTTTATTGCAGATGATGAACTACCACGTTGTGAACTATCTTTATCCGACATTGGACTTCGATCACGTCGACTTCTTGATGAACTTCCACCACCATTTGGTGCTGATACTGGTGGTGTTGCAGACATTGATTCATTACCCGGTACACTTCCTGAACCAGTTGTATTATCATTTATTTCTGATTTAATACCATTTGGTAAAAGAAGACCACTACCCATATGACTACTACCATTAATATGTTTTTGATTTCCACCAACACTTGTATCAATAACTAAATCAGATTCACTACGTTCACCATCACTTTCAGCTGTTGATTGTTTTATTGGTTTTGATATATTACTACTTGTACTTGATGGTCGATGTTTAGATGATTTACCATTTGTTGATGAACGACTACTACTACTATTTTTTGTAGCTAATAAATCAATATTATTTGCTCGTGGTGATGATGCATTTTCTTTTGACATTGATGAACCACTTTCTTCTTTAAGTCCTGGTGCATATTGAGAAGCTAAACTACTTAATACCGATGTATAATTTAACATTCCTGGTGGTAGACCAGAACCAGCACCTGGAAGTCCAGGTGGACCGGGTAATTGAAGATGAGGTGCTGAACCAAGACCAGGAACACCACCAGATAATTGTTGCATTCCACCACCAGGTCCTGATGGATTTGAAGCAGTAGCAAGTGCAAGAGCTGTTGCTTGGGCATGAAATTGTTGTTGAATGACACTTCAATAAAAAAAAGAAAAAGAAAAAGAAAAAAAAACAAAAAAATTTATTATTTTTAATTTACCTATTAAGATCATTCATTGTAACTTGTTTAGCACGTTCGAGTGCAGGTAATGCATGTGATTGTTGTTCAGGTGTTAAATAAGGAATGATTTGATGAAGTAATGCAATTAAACGTTTTGTTATTTCAGTTTGTTTATGCATTTCATATGATAAACGATATGCCATTTCATAATAAAGGCAATATTGTCTTTGTACTTCATTTTTTTCTGCATTTAATTTTTCACATTCAATACGTAATTGTGCACGTTCACCTTGCATATGAGTAAATTCTTTTTCTAATCGATCACAAACATCGTTAACACTAAAATCATAACTACCACCAGTGGTAGAACGATTATTACCATTACTGTTATTAAACATTTTCTATTTTAACAAAAAAAAATAAAAATAAAAAAAAAATAACAATAAAAATCAATGAAGTTGAAACAAAAAACAAAGAAGAAATTTTTTTTCTTCTAACGTTTACTTTTAGATCATAATTGTTTTGTTCTATTTTGTTATATTAATATATATAAATCGAATTTATCTAGAATGTCAGATAAGAAAACAAAAGAGTCATTCATTCATCAATCAATATATAATGCGTCCGTCCGTATCGGCGAACGAAGCAATCGTATAGCAGCTGACAGTAGCCATATTTATTAATTGATCAATGTGTGACAGAGGAGGATACTAATTCTAAACAGTTCGAAATGCATAAATGACTTTTATGAAAATAATTTCATTGGTTTATTTTATTTACCATTCGGAAAATAATAAATGATAATAATTGTGATGATTTTTCTTTCAATGGTGAATGATAATGAAAACTTAGTAGCTAAATCGTATGGAAATTTTTTTTTTACTTTTAATTATTGAATATAAAATTGAATGAATACATCTAGAAAATCATATAGTTGGCATTTTGGTAAACTACCACGAATACAAGCTGAACAGTTACTTAATAATGAATATAGTGGAACTTTTCTTATACGTGAAAGTGAACATTTTCCAGGAGATTTAACATTATCAATTAGAGATGAAATTAAAATTCAACATTATAGAATTAAATATGATGGAATAAATAAAACTTATACAATCGATGATGAAACTTTCTTTTCTAATCTTAATTTACTTGTTCAGGTTTGACGACTATTGTCGATTTCTATTGAATAAAATTTATGGAATTCTCGTTTTTTTTTAGCATTATGAATCTGATGCTGATGGTCTATGTTGTCGTTTAGAAAAATCGTTGAATAATAAACATGATACAATTGTTTCGATGAAAATTGGAAAAACAGTGTCACCTGTTGTAAGTGTTTCACCTGAAGTATCATCGACGATTTATTATAACGAATTGCAAATTGGAAAACTTGTTGGATCTGGTGAATTTGCTGGTAAGCGAGATTATTTTGGAAGTATATTTATGATTAATGTTAATTGCTTTTTTTTTTGTAGAAGTTTATGAAGGAACGTATAGAAAATCTCGTGTTGCTGTTAAAATGTTAAAAGAACCAAATTCTGCAACAAGCTTTCTTCATGAAGCTGATATCATGAGGTATATCTTATGTTTTTTCTCTATTAATTTATTGTCTAATAAATGAATATATTAAGTAAATTGAAACATCGAAATTTGGTTGAACTGTTGGGTATAGTTCGAAAATCCGATAATATTATTTATTTAGTTACTGAATTCATGGCTAAAGGTTCACTTCTTCATTATTTAACAACACGTGGTAGAACAGTGATTTCTCAAAGTGATTTAGTTGATTTTGTTATGTAAGTTTTCTTCTTTGCAATTAATACATCATATCAATTATCAAGATAGATTCTATTTATTGTTAAATGAAAAAAATCATAATAGAATATAGACGATGTGTAGTTCATGCAGAACAGTTTTCGATCTTACTGAGAGAATAAAATTTTTCTAAATTGATATGACTATTTTGGAAAAATTAATATTGTCATAAGTGATATCTACTTAGGGCATACCAAAAGTACTGGCAGTGACACTTTAATACCCTATAGTAGGCTTTAAGAAACTTTCTTTCTATATAGTCTGATAGAGAAAAAAATGCTCTATCTTTCTATACTATTTGATCGTACTTGAACTAATCTCATAGTATTAAATTATCTATAAAACCAATTTCGGCTGGTTATATGCTGGTTGTAAGTTTTGCATTGCAGTTTTCGATTTGTTACTAGTTGTATTAATAACCAAAATATACTATAAGATGCAGCGTGAAAAGCTCTACAATTTGCATACGACCACTTATTTTATAGCTGCAATTTTTGTTTTCGAAATCGACAAAATTTGGAGCAATCAAATTGTGAAGATGCGAAAAAGAGAATGTTTTCGATACACAACGAATTCATTTTTGTTATTTCATTGTTTATCACCTGATATGCTTTACCAAAAGAAAAACAAAATATACCACAAGATGCAGCGTGAAAAGCTCTACAATCTATACAGTAAAGCTTATTGTAATTGTTTTCAAAAAAAAGGAAAATTCTATGCGACCAATTTTCTCAATACCAAAAATTTGATCCCTCAAAACTTTATCGATTTTGAAAGCAAAAAGTGCAGCTATAAAATAAATGGCCTTATGTAAATTGTAGAGCTTTTCACGCTGCATCTTATGGTATATTTTGGTTGTTCATACAATGTCTTGAGGGATTGAAAACTAGTCTGTTCTCACACGTTGTAATCTAGTACAACCAGCACATAATCAGCCGAAATAGGTTTTATGGATAATTTAATATTATGAGATTAGCTGAAGTACGATCAAATAGTATAGAAAGATAGAGCATTTTTTCTCTATCAGACTATATAGAAAGAAAGTTTCTTAAAGTCTACTATAGGGTATTAAAGTGTCACTGCCAGTACTTTTGGTATGCCCTAAGTATATGTATGTTCATTTTAATAGATATGTAACAATATCAGCTTAATCGTTCAAAAGTAGCGTATATATTTAATTGTGGAAAAAAACAATGTTGAAAATAGTTTATAGTTTGTTTTTTATGAGTTATATGAACTGAAATAATCGTTTTTCAGTGGGTATGCTAAAACGATGTATTAGTATAAGTTGACAAGGGAATATTTCCAACTGTTCAATCACTTGTCGTTGGAGATCATTCAATTGGCCATGATGAGTAGTGGAAAATTCTGTTTTGATTTATTTTTCTGGTCTTCGCTTGTTGTCTTATGGCCATTTTACTCATCTTTTGCCCTATGAACACAGAATTATTGAACATCTGACTCTCGAGTTGAAGTTTTGTTCATAGATAGGTCTTACAGTCACTAGAAATGTCCTGCGTATGAAATACAGTCTAAAACAGACGTTTCTCTAGATTGTAAATGTCTTAGTAAGAATACGTTCGTTCTTGCTCAAGCTTTGAAGTTTTTCTAGTGACTATAAGGCAACCTGTAGACAAAATTTCAGCTTGAAATTCGATCATCTAAATTCTCATTGATTCTATGCTCATTGGACAAAAGTCGAGCAAAACATTCATAATTCAACAAGCAAAAATTGGAAAAAAAAATTAAAACAGAATTTTTCTACTACTCATCATGATTGATCGAATGAAAATTGTCTCAAACAAAAGGCGATTGAACAATTGGGAATGTTTCTTACCAGTGAAAAGATATCGTGTTGAATGTAGGGGTGTTACTTTATTTTTATGTTTCCTTATAATAAAGAATAAAGTAAAGAGAATCTTTATCTTTATTTTATAAAGAATAAAGATAATCTTTATTTTAAAAAATAAAGATAAAGAAATAAAGAAATCTTTATTTTTTAAAAAATAAAGATAAAGTAAATCTTTATATTTATAAAATAAAGATAAAGATAATCTTTATTTTTAAAAATAAAGTTAAAATAAAGAATAAAGAATGACTTTTGTAAATTACACCAAAATAAGTAAATCACTGTTATTAACAACAAATGATGTCAATTAAAAAATATTTTCTACTGTGGGAATATTTTTTGTTTAAAACAAGTCGTAATACAAAATTAGTAAATGTGCCAGAAAAAAGGTTATTATCGTAATCATACTTTTAGAATGGGTGAATGATTAATGAAATTATTATTTGCTATCGATACGATTCTTCTGAGACTGACTCTTATACTAATATCCGTTGGTGATGTTCTTTAAGACTTTTAAAATACGTATCATATATTGTTGCTTACCTTGGGTGAAAAAAAACAATACAGATCATATAGATATCACTGCGTTCGTATGTTTACAGGATGTGATGGAAAAAGTCTTTTTATTATTCTCTATTTTGATTAATAACATTTTTGTTTTCGAACAAATATGAAACAAAATGGTGTTATGTTTTACGAAACAACTTTTTCTTTTTGCTAGTTTATTAATACAATTTTTTTTATTCACCAATAAACCGTTAACTATCACGAATATAAGAAAAAATAAATAAACAGTCTTTTAAATGTATATGTTCTCATAGATCATTTTATTGTTTTAATAGCATCAGATATCGTAAGGTGGTTGTTGATAATGATGCTCGTTGTTTTCTGTCAACATAACCTGCAACTGAAAAAGCTGATTCAGAAGCAGCTGATGTTGATGGTGCACAATTATATCGACGTGCATAAGATGCTAAAATTGGAAGACGAGTTTTATTTTCGTTCCAATATGTTTGAAAATCTTTGGAAGATGTACTGGTGGATGTGGATATATGGAAACTAAATTCTTGTTTTAAAGTAAATGGTTTTACTTTTTGTTCTGGTTTTGGTGCAGTTTCAGCATCAGCTGACGACGAACGACATAACATTCGAAATCGATTAATTGTTGATAATTTCGATGGTTTGGATGAATTCATTGATGAAGATGATGACGATCCTGATTGTGATTGTACATGTTCTGATGAAATGCTGGTTGTTGATTTCTTTGAATTAGAAATATCTTTTGTTAAACGCATCAGCATTGATTCAACTTCATTTATTTCTTCGGCTGATAAATCTGAAAGTGTGAACGGATCTAGATATGCAGCAATCTACAGTAAAGAAATAAAAACATTTTACTCAATTTAAATGGACTTTTTTCAATTATTTTATACAAAATCAAAACATTAGAATCTCATTTTCTAGATGAATCTGAATTAAATTTTGTCAGTATACTTTAGGAAGGTATTCCTTTTTTATCTTTAAGTGTGCACCGTTGATGAAAACTGTTGATAGTCACACATGATGTTACTTTAGACATTTTAAATATTGACTATTGCATGCTTTTCGATAACTTTACATACTAAATGAGATATTGTTCACTTGTCTATACTTACTAATTTAGCACATCGTTGTTCACGTGTAACATTTGTTATAAAATATAAATTAAATTTATCAAGTAATAAATTTTTTAACCCATTTTCTAAATGACAATTAGGTTTTTCGTTTGTTAAATGAAAATATAAATTATTAATTGTCCAATAAGATAATGATAATGTTGGATATTGACGACCAGATAAACATTTCGTAGCAAAATAAAATGGAGCTAAAACATTGGACAATGATTCTATTAATTCCCATTCAAATTGATTAATTTGTAATGAACGTATTTTTTTAATTTGTTTGATTGTTAAACCAATATGAGATTGAGGTGAATAAATGATGTCATTTACAATCTGTTGACCTGCCCATAAACGGGCCAACATAATAAAAGTAGAATTCCACCTAATGTAAAAGTCATTTATGAAATCACTTGCTTTGGTCTTTTCTTCATTACCATCAGGATTAATTGCTACATTAAGGTCAATTTGTCGTCGTTTTATTTCATTACGAACAAATGTTGTCAATATACTTGATTTAGTTATCATTTTGATTAATGTACGAATCTTTTTAAATAAATTGGAAATTTTGTTTTTAAATTTATCAGAATTTAATAATAATTGTTCTATTTCTTCTTGTTCTTCCTCGTCTTGTATTCGACCATCTTTTTGTGATTGTGTTAATGTTGTATTATTATCATCATCATCATCCGAAGTATCTGAACAACTATCAGTTTCATCTTGATCACCTAATGTTGGTATATAATCACCATCACCATCATCTTCATCATTTAAATAATTTTCATCGTGATTAACCCATTCGTCGAAAATCACATCGACATCAACAAGACGTGATTTTTCTGTGTCATCATCAGAGTCATGAGTATGTTCATTAGGTGTTGTTGTTTTTGATGTTGATGTTGCTGTTGTTTTTGATGTTGATGATGATGATGATGTTGCTG